TAAAGCACTGGATCCCACATGGTCAATTTTGTGGTTCGAGTCCCAAACCCAGTGACTTGAAAATCACACCTGGTATGTGTGTGTGCGTGACCAATTCCTGAGAGAGTGGAGAAGGGATTGGGGTGTGGCCATGCCCCCCAGAGGGTGATTTCTCACTTTCCCTCTCTCCCTCCATCTCTCTGTGTTGAATGCACACACCCTATAGCACAAATCTAAAAATAAAGGGACCAGCAGGTGGCGGGATGGTTATGGAGCTGGACTCCCACATGGTTGAACACAGTTCAAGTCCTGGACCTGGTGGCTTGAATCAAATCAGACATTCGAGAGGAGAATGTAGAAGAGATTGTAGCAAAGGGACCAGCAGTTGGCGTAATGGCTATGTCGCTGGACTCCCACGTAGTCTACTGCGGTTCGAGTCCCGGACCCGGTGGCTTAAACTCACTCCAGGCGTGTGTGCGTGCGTGCCCAAGATCCCGAGAGGAGAATGGAGGAGAAGGGATTGCGGTGTGGCCATCCCCCCTGGGGGGTGATTTCTCGCTTTCTGTCTGTCTGTCTGTCTCTGTCTGTTTGGCGAGCACACGCGCCCTATAGCAAAAGAAAGAAAGAAAGATTTTTTTTAACTTTATTTATTTTATTTATTTTGACTGGAAAGGACAGAGAGAGAGAAAATGAGAAAGCAAGCTGCCAGGTCTGGGACTCGACCACAGTCCAAGCCATATGAGAGTCCAACGCCCTTAACCATCACGCCCCCTGCTGGCCCCTATGATCAAGTTTATACATGAATGAATAGAGAAATTTTTAGAGAGAGATTTTTGCTAAAGGGTACATGCATTGGCTGGAGAGACATAGAGACAGAAAGCGAGAAATCACCCCCCAGAGGGTATGGTCACGCCGCAATCCCTTCTCCTCCATTCTCCTCTCGGGATCTTGGGCACGCACGCACACGCGCCCGGCGTGAGTTTAAGCCACTGGGTCCGGGACGCGAACCGCGGTCGACTATGTGGGAGTCCAGCGACATAGCCCTTACGCTAACTGCTGGTCCCAGTCCCAGAAGTCTTGGCAGGACGGAAAGTGTCAGGTTACTGTCCCCTGTCCACCACCATCCATCCGGTTGGGTTTGTGGCCATCATCTGGCTTGGCCAGGGCTACTTCTCACCACTCACGGAGCGCTGCCTGACGTGCTCTGGCCACGCCGGCCCCTGGCACTGGCCCTGGCTGCTCCCCGACGTTCACCCCCTATCACCTACCCCCTTAACAGCCCTCCTGGTCTCTCACTTTCTTGCCATCCTGTCTGTCACAGCTGTCATCTCGGAGGCTGGCTGCCCACGCCTGTATCGCTGTCTCTGGTTTGTTTTTTCGTTTGTTTTTTAGAGTTTTTTTGCTATAGAGCGTATGCGCTCACCAGAAAGGGAGACACACAGAGAGACAGAAAGCGAGAAATCATCCCCC